AAAATAAATTCAGTTCTGAATTTTAATATATTTATACAATTAAAGTTAAATTTGTAAACTCAATTAATTGCTTAATTAGAATTGTAAGATAATACCAACGCATTTTAAAATATGCGTGCTAAGCCTCAAAATTACTTGTGATAATGCACATTTGCGAAAATCAAGGTCTTAAGAAAATGGAAAAAAAAATTTTTAAAATAATTGGTTTTTTTTTTATAACAAAGAAAATTCATGTGCTAAGCTTCAAAATACTGCGCAATAATGCATATTTGTGAAAAATCAGGTTCTTGAGAAATTGAAAAATTTTTTTTCTTTGAATAAAAAGTTCTTTTTCTATAATTCACTTTTAATTGTAAAGAATCATAAAGAACAAAGCATTCCTAACTCATGTACTAAGCCTCAAATTGCTGCACAAAAATGTATTAGATCTTGAGTAAATATAAAAACTTCTCTATAAACAAGTTTTTGTACAATCTTTAAAGATTTTTCACAAGAATAAGTTATGCAGAAGTTGGATTTCAATAATTTATTTAAATTAGTTAGAATTATCTTTCAGCCAGTGCAAAAATCGCATTCTTGATTAATAAATTGCAAAATAGATTTCTTCAATATCATTTGCTATCTCATAATATTTTTATATATTTGTTATTTATATTCTATTATCAATTTGTTTATCTATTTGTCCAAAACTAAATCCTCTCGAGAAGTTTTCGAATTAGATGACTTAGTAAACCAAATTGACACAAAAAAAGAATTAAAAAATGAACCGGCAATTGAACTCTTTAAAGTACGAAAAACAGTAAAGGATTTAAAGAAGAGAGAAGCTTTGGCAAATATAGAGAAGAATAGGCTCTTGGCGAAATTGAAAGCATTTGATTCATCATTAGCTAAAAACAGCCATAAATTCTTTAACAATTGTGAAATTGAAATTATTGAATCAAATATAGAATTTCTTGATTATTTTATTCATAGAAAATTAATTCCTATAATTCAAAAAAGTTTGATGTGATCCTTAAAATGTTTTTAAATTTATTATTCTTTTTTTTTATTCGAATTGACAACAACTTTAAGAAAAAATTAATTTCTTTAAACTACATGATTCAATATTTTAATATTGGTTATTAAAATAGGCAATGAAGAGGAATCTAATAAAACAACAAAGTATAACAATTCTCTCCAACTATATGCTAAACTGAAAGAAATGAATATATGACTTA